AAAAAGTTCCCCAACCAGAAGTGGATTAAGCTCATAAACATGCCGATCATTCTGGGGGCAACAGGCATGATGCCGCCTGCTAGGGCTGTGAACTATTTGACATGGCTTTCGGTTGGGATTTTCTTCAACTTCTATGTGTACCGAAAGTACAAGGGGTGGTGGGCTAGGCATAACTACATTCTATCTGCTGCTTTGGATGCTGGTGTGGCCTTCACAGCAGTTCTTCTTCTGTATTTCACCCTTCAATCCAAGGATATAATGGGGCCCGGCTGGTGGGGTCTCGAAGCGGATGACCATTGTCCGCTGGCCTCGTGCCCCACGGCTCCAGGTGTAGTTGCCAAAGGCTGTCCGGTTCGCTAAGATATGATTCAGAAATCAAAACCCTAAACCCTAAATGTGTGACAATGTAATATTGCAAAACCATATGTAGGCCAGTTCTGCAGATTGGCGAAGAAAGATATGAATCTGTATAGTTATTTGAACAAATTTGGTTTTAGTTTTCATAATTTGAAATTAGTGAATGTATACGGGCTTTAATTTTGAATAAGCAGCATATAACAATTACTGGATAGTGTGACAACATAACATTATTAAATATGAACCAACTGAATAATGGGCTAGCAACTCAAATGGTCAGTAGTATTCACGAATCACGACTAAACTCGAGGTCTAGTGTTCGGTTTCCCTCTCTCCAGATCGATACATGGGATATTTTATTATGCATGGTACTTAAAAAATAAGAAATATACATGCTGACGTCATTAATGCCAAGTTTTCATTGTGTCAAAACTTTTTCGGTCAGATGCATATAAGAATTTTTCAACGTTACATTTGTTTTCCAAATTTAGATTTTTGTGTCTTTGACCAATACCTTCATTACAAATTAAGAGTTTAGGCTGAACCAGATTTTAGGCCTAAAAAACGGTTTTTTTTTCAAGAGCGTTGCTATTAGGACCACAATTTTTTCTTATCACTATCTCCGCTGGTCAGATCTCGAATAGAAGAAGTGACACCAATTGCACTAAGTGATTCTCAACTCTATAAAAGCTCGTCAACAAGATGATCAGTAAATGTACTTCAAATAATTTGATTCTTGGAAAGTGAAAGGATCATGAATTCAACCTAAGTGTGTGCACCGGAGAAACTAGCATACATAAAACTGGTGTGAGAGGCTTTGTTATTTGTTTGAAAGAGAAACAAAGACAGTGAAGGAGGCAAAGAAGGACCGATGACGGTGAAGTACGACGAGGACATCCCTGGGGGGAAGTCTCACTTCAACATCGACGTCGTCGTCGGTAAGCCCCCCGCCCCCCCCCCCCCCAAAAAAAAAAGGATCCAATTCTTCTTCTCACGGTCATACCACACTTTGATACGTGCACACATTCCTCTTTTTTTTTTTCCTTCATGTTTTTGTTGTGTTTAACGAGTCATTTTTGTATACATGTCGCACATGCAAACAGATGAAGAAGTGAATGACTGCCCAATTGAGCAAGTTAGGCTAACGGTTCCAACCACAGACGATCCATCGGAGCCGACCATGACATTCCGGACGTGGGTTCTCGGCCTACTATCATGCGTTGTTCTTGCCTTCGTGAACCAATTTTTCGGGTACCGGCAAAACCATCTATACGTTTCTTCGGTCTCGGCCCAAATCGTAGTCCTCCCCCTAGGAAAGCTGATGGCGGCGGTCCTTCCTGCGACGGAGTTCCAAGTCCCATTTACAAAATGGTCGTTTTCTTTGAATCCGGGGCCTTTCAGTATGAAAGAACATGTTTTGATCACAATATTTGCAAACTCTGGATCAAACAGTGTTTATGCAGTTAACATTATTACAATTGTCAAGGCTTACTACCACAGAGATATTCACATCATGGCAGCCTTCTTGTTATCTCAAACCACTCAGGCAAGTTTTTGTCCCACATTTTAATACTACATTTTGAATAAAAGTTTGTATAGGCGGGACCCACTCGAAGAAAAACTTGAGACTAGACTTTTGGTACGTGGAGCGGCCCTTACACCCTAGTTAAAACATAATATGTGTTACGGAATTTGAATCATTGAGAAAAACCTACAATACAAGCTATGTTTTGATCGGAAAAAACGTACGTCATTCAAACTAACATGTGGCAGGGGAAGTAAGATCCTCGCTTAGGGTTTTCTCCAAAATGGGCATTGCATCACAATTTTTCTTAAATACCTATAGGCACTTAACGCCAACGTATATTTGACTATTGGGTTTGATCCAACGGGCTCAATCACTCTGTTTAAACCATTGTATCAAATTCAGTGGTCAAATATGCATGTTTAAACCACATCAAGCATTACTTTTATGGTTTTTTTTTTTCCAGATGCTTGGATATGGATGGGCTGGATTATTCAGAAAATTTCTTGTTGACTCGCCTTACATGTGGTGGCCTTCAAATCTTGTTCAAGTCTCTCTATTCAGGTACATATATGATCGATTTTAGCAAAAAAGACGTTCATAGCTCAAGCAGTTAAGAGTATCCAAACCTGTTTTCAAAGTTCTGTGTTCGATTCCCGCTCTTTGAATTAACTAAATCATAAAATGTGAATTAATGGCAGGGCATTGCATGAAAGAGAAAAGAGACCCAAAGGAGGCAGAACCAGGATGCAATTCTTCATCATTGTTTTCGTATGCAGCTTTGCGTACTACATTGTCCCAAGCTTATTCTTCCCTTCCCTAACAGCTCTCTCCTTCGTCTGTTGGATTTGGAAGGACTCCATCACTGCGCAACAGATTGGTTCCGGCCTCAAGGGCCTCGGAATTGGCTCGTTTGCCCTCGACTGGTCCACCATCGCCGCCTTCTTGGGCAGCCCTCTAGCCTACCCAGATGTTGCTGTGATCAACATGCTAGTTGGCTTTGTTCTGATTTTTTACATCATTTTGCCTATTACGTATTGGACCAATACCTATGATGCTAAGAAATTCCCAATCTTTTCCTCCCACACATTTGATGTTGATGGCCAAAAGTACAACGTTTCGAGAATTCTCAATAAGAAAACTTTCGATATCGATTTGCCCCGGTATAACAGTTACAGTAAACTCCACCTCAGTACCTTCTTTGCCCTCACCTATGGCTGGGGCTTTGCCACTCTTACATCGACTATTTCACATGTCGGACTCTATCATGGAAAGTATGTTTTTCTCCTTTTCGACGTTAAAACTTGGGATAGTTACTAGCATAACTCGCATCATCGCATGTTATAATGCGGTAAAGAAATGTGATCTCCCTAACATTACCTTAACTCAGACTAATTACTTTTTCATTGTTATCTTCTTTTATGGGACATGGATCATGAAAACAGAGAAATCTGGCATCTGTGGAGAAAGACGACCGGTGCAGTGAAAAATCAGCTCGGCGACGTCCACACAAGACTTATGAAGAGGAACTATGAACCAGTCCCAGAATGGTGGTTCCAGATAATCCTTGTTTTCATGGTTGGTCTTGCCATCTTTACCTGTGAAGGTTTCGGCAAACAGCTCCAACTTCCATGGTGGGGAGTTTTACTCGCCTGTACCATCGCACTAGCTTTCACCCTACCCATCGGAGTTATTGCCGCTACAACAAACATGGTACGGCTTACATTGATCTTTAATTTTCTTTATATTTTGAGCATATACGTAGATACATGAACATGCCTACAAATATCATACCTATATCCAGGTTTAATAAAGCCGAAGCGTGTTCCAAGGACTACTAATACCTTTTATGCCCATTTCAATATTTACTGTGCAGCAACCAGGGCTCAACATAATTACAGAGTTAATTATCGGGTACATTTATCCCGGGAGGCCTCTGGCTAATGTGGCTTTCAAGACCTATGGATATATCAGCATGTCACAGGCACTCATGTTTCTTGGTGACTTCAAATTAGGCCACTATATGAAGATCCCTCCTAAGTCCATGTTTATAGTGCAGGTAACCATCGACAGAATGCGTGCGATGCTTCTAGTAGTACTAATAGTATTAGTAACGTTTGTTTCGTTTTTCATATGATATAATGAAACAGAAACACATAGTTACATGCAATTGTCCATTTTTGTATGTTCAGTTAGCCGGAACAGTGACGGCTACAAGTGCCTTCTTTGGTACATCATGGTGGCTTCTAACTACTGTGAAGAACATCTGTGATCCAGCAAACTTGCCAGCGGGAAGTCCGTGGACATGCCCGGGTGATGATGTGTTCTACAATGCTTCAATCATATGGGGAGTCATAGGCCCACTCAGAATGTTCACTAAGAAAGGAAACTACCCAGAGTTGAACTGGTTCTTCCTCATCGGCTTTCTGTCACCTATTCCCGGTTGGCTACTCCACAAAAAATTCCCCAATAAGAAGTGGATTCGGCACATAAACATGCCTATAATCCTTGGATCAACCGGTGTCATGCCACCAGCGAAAGCCATAAATTATTTGTCATGGTTTTCAGTTGCACTTGTCTTCAACTTGTATGTTTACAGAAAGCACAAGGGGTGGTGGGCTAGGCATAACTATATCCTATCTGCTGCTTTGGATGCCGGTGTGGCCTTTACAGCAGTTACCCTATATGTCACCCTCCAATCCAAGGAAATTATGGGTCCAAAGTGGTGGGGTCTGGACCAAGACGACCATTGTCCGTTGGCCAAGTGTCCTACTGCACCGGGGATAAAGACTAAAGGGTGTCCAGTTCTCTAAGATATGCTTCAAAATCATCCTAGAATGCATGCAAATCATAGCCCAGTCTTCTATTTTTTTATGATAATGATGATGATGATGATGATATTCACCATCATGGCAGTTCAGAAAGATGTAGCGGCTTAGTGAATTAGTTTGAATTACTTTAAAGACAAGTTTTATTCTTGTGCAATTAAATAGTTTGTTTATTTTTCATAATTTGGAGCCAGAGATGCAAACCATGCTTTAAAACTGAAAAATGTAATGTCCTTGAAAATGATGTTAGTTGAACTGTATAATGTTCTTAATTAGGAGTCTAGATCGTCTTACCAGTAATCCCTGCAGGAACAAAAACCATCTTTGAAACAATGGAACCGGTTACGGTCACGCACAACTATCTCTCTTCTAAAAGTTGCTGATATAAGTTTGAAAGCAGCATGACAGTCCTCACAAACACGAAGATTCTTCATAATTCGAATTGGTGTTCCAGGTTCTGTGTTGATCAACCTGAAAACCAGCGCTAATTTCTCGATATGACGATAGAGAAACTTTTCCTTCTGATCCTCTTCCATGTCTAGCAGAACAACTGAGGCGTTAGGCACATAACCCTTCAGCTTCATTTTCTCAACTAGTTTCTCCCACATTTGGACGGTCTCTTGAGTTTGAGGACGGGTTTCATCCTCGGCTACAAACTCATGAACCACTCCATCCACTGTAATTGAACTCCACGCGGGCGTCTTCTTCACCCCTCGATCCCTCATTATCTTTCTCACCCTCGTTGTGTCTTCCCACCGTTGTGCTTCTGCATAAAGGTTTGACAGAACCACATAGTATCCATCATTAAGTGGATCCAATTCCGAAAGGTGCTTAGTTGCTTCTTCAGCCAGTTCAATGTTTTTGTGAACTTTGCATCCGCCAAGGAGAGCTCCCCATACGACAGTATTGGGCTTGATAGGCATGTTTGTGATAAACTCGATCGTAAGCCTCTTGAAGGAGCCCTGCCTACTTAAAAGATCAACCATGCAACCGTAATGCTCAATTCTAGGAACTATACCATAATCGTTAGTCATGCTGGTGAAGAATTCACGACCCTGATCCACAAACCCAATGTGGCTAGAAGCATGCAACAGTCCGACAAAGGTTACATCATTCGGATCCATGCCTTTCTGAATCATTTTAGAGAAAAGTCTTAGAGCTTCCTCAGCTTGCCCGTGCATGGCAAACCCTGCGATCATAGCTGACCATGACACAACCGTTCGCTCTTTCATCCCATCGAAAACCTTACAGGATCCTCCAAGCATCCACATTTGACATAAATTTCAATCAAAGTGTTGGAAACCTGAACATTTTTGCTAAACCCACTTTGGTTTTGAGTACTCATGAATTCTCCTACCCAAACCCAAGTCCCCCCAGTCAGCACACTCCGCAAGAACAGCCACTACCATCACCTCATTTGGCCTCACGCCAGCCTCTTCCGTCTCCGAAAACAAACCAATCGCCTCCTTAGGCTTCCCGCAGTGAACAAACCCTGAAATCATCAACGTCCATGACCTCACACTTCTACCGGGCATCCGCGAAAACAGATCATACGGTCCCTAATATCACCCCTCTTTACCAACTGGGTCACCAATATATTCCAGGACACAACATCTCTCCACCACACAACGTATACAAGTTCAGAATCATATTCATCAAAAATAAATTCGACCGAAACCCAAGTTTCTCCACATACCCATGTACCACCCTTCCAATGGAAACATCCAACAAACGCGTGCACGCCTTCAGAACGAAAGACAGCGTGGAACTATCCGGTGAAACACGAAAGCTCTGCAGCTGGTTAAAAAGCAGACCCGCCTCAATGGGGTCGTTGCCTTCGGCGAAGGCTTTCAGGCACGAGTTCCAGGCTTCGGTATCGGGGGTATCAAAAGTTTCCGGGCGTAGGAGAAGCTGGGGTTGAGTGAACAGATCAAGGCGATTAGAGAGGGCTGGAAGGATGTGAGGGAAGAGTTCGTTTTCATGAGGTGTGCGTGGAGTTGTTTGAGCTCGGATGGGGAGGCAAATCTGTGGAGGAGATGGGTTGCTGTAAGCTTTTGGGGAGTGTGAGAGTCTGTGATGTGGTTCAGAGGAGGAAGATGGAGGCAAATGACCGTTGAAAGCATTGAGACTTTTCAAAAGGTAGTTGAGTTTAACGGTTTTTCTTCTCTTCTGAAGCGTCGGCCTTTGGGTTTTATATTCAAGGGTAAAATGGGAACTTAAGGTGCAAAATACTTTTTTTTGGGTGTACTTAGATAAGTGTGGAGTTTCTCAAGCTTCGGCTATAAACACTTTTACCGAAAACGTTTTTAGTTATTTTAAAATTTCTAAAGCATTTCAAGTAAAATAATGCACTGATAAAACATTCCATCTTGCTATCAACACTTTTTTACCAATGTTATCAAGAGTAAGATTCTATTCCCTCTTCCCTCTTTTTTGCCCTCCCATTCCCTCCCCTCCTATTTAAACAGTCACAGTTAAATCACGTCAACATCTTATATTAATTTTTTATAGAAAGAGAGACTAAATAAAGAATGTAAGAGGAGGGGATGAAAAGAGAACTCTATATCGACATTTCTTCTTTTAATAAAGAACGGATACAGGGAATGAAGGAAGTAGGACGAAATCATATACACCAGTTTAATACCAACGGTGCGAACCTAAGACTTCCGATCAATGTTTTTAACCACTTGAGCTACAATCTCCACGTAAATATGATAGCGTCAACAACGTTAACCCAATGTCTAACAACATAACATTGTAAACCCAGTCAACAAGAAAATTTGATGCAAAGGAAAGATAACTTGAGGTGCAAAACTGAATTGACATTTTTGTTCCAATTCTACAACCAAACCATAAACCTCATTTGAAGTGGTCCACAAAAGAAGATGCTGAAACCCTTTGGCGTCGAACGTAAAAGTATGAGAAGATAATTGATATCCAGTTTTTTACATCTCGAAAATTCCTTACAAAAAAAGAAAGTGATGAGCTTGACGTCAATGTATGCCCCCTTGTCCTCTAAACCCAGCACGAGAAACTGAGTTAGGCATGGAGCCATTTGCAATACCGACGGGGATGGCCGGATTACTTGAATAGTTCTGGGTTCAGCCAGTCCCTGTCATTTACATTTCGAATCAACATCAGTTTACCCTATCAATACGAATATTAGTTGAAAATAAGATAACAAAAATCAAGGTGTATTGCACTCACTTGCTAATGTCATCGAGGTGATCATCGAAATCTACAACATCCTGCCATTTTTCGGTGGAGATGTAATCCAATAGAACAACATTTGCTGATGGCTCTTTGATGGTCAACTGGTTTCCATCCGATCCAACTAACTTCCAAGTCCTGGATGCATCCTTCGTGTAGAGCTGATTTTTTCAAAAGGTAGAAAAAACAAAGAATAAATAGGAGGAAGACGAAGTTGGTGTCAATGAAGATGAAATCACTTAGAATCAGATCCAACTAACAATCAGGTAATACAAAACCAGATTAACATAAAACGAAGTTAATATCAAAGAAGATGAAGTCACTAAAGAATCAAAGATGGTTTCAACATAGAATCAATTCAAGACAAATAACTTCCGGAAGATTTAACAAAGACTGTCCATCTAAGTCCTCTGAATTCCCAAAAACATAATAATATCATACTTCATTTTGTTGTTTCCCGAATAAGGACTATTGCCAATTCCTTCAAAACTCTATTGCAATCCTTACCATGCTAGCTTTCCAAACAACTGAATATATCAAAGACAAAAGATATTGAAGGGAAGCAATGTGAGGGCATAGTTCAAACAGTGTGGAGCTCTGCTATAGTGATAAGGTAAAGAGTCCTAAGAGATGCTCTGAAGGAGCTCTTCAAGATGTAGTAAACACAAATTTTATTAAAAATGGATCTAATGAAGAAAATGATGGAAAATATGAGGGTCACACAGATAATCTAGAACATAGATTAGGAATGGGAAAAGATGGTGTCTGTGCTTATCTGCAGCAAGTAGGTGAAATCTAGTATCCCCAAATTCAGCAATAGCTTATAATTTAGAAAAATGCAGGTTCGCTAAATGATAATCCTTAAAAATAATACAAGAAGACTAAATGTTATATACACATCAGGAAGGGCGGGCGAGGATGAAAAATATGACAATTATGAGACTAAAAAATATGTTAGCTTCTATCTGGGACGCCAAAAGAAGGAAACAACTCCAGCAGCCACAAAAATAAAAACTTTATTAACTTAGCCTAAAGCACATTACCAGCCCAACCTAAGAGAATACACTCCAAGCTTTTGTAGCCTAGAGTTGGTTTGAAAGGAAGGGCCAAAAGGTAACCTCATTCACCTTACATTTGGGTTATGAATTAGGCTGACCTGCAATCCCATTGTGGATGTTCCGCTTCTCAAGAAACTTTAGCTCATGGAGTAAGCCTTTATCTAGTTCATTTCTATTTCAGTAATATGACTTAAAAAAAAACTGAGATGCAAAGATTGGCATCAAAATATAGTCTTCCAAATGTTAGAAAAGACATCTCAGAAATTTCATGTACATATATACGAAATTATTTAGTTCTTCAAGCTCATGGTTAACTTCCCAAGTTTATCAACAACAAACGACACCAACAACTTCGAAAAATAATGTCCAATTATTACGCTAGGAAAACAAAAACGCATACCTCACACAAATTTCTCATTTCTCACATTTTTTAGCTAAGACCGACAAGCAGTTCAAACAATCAAATACACTTATACACTCATACACCCATCATATCATATAAATGGACAAAGAAAAAGATCCATGCTTTTCATAAACAAATATGCATAGTTAACGATACCCACCTGCACTACGGGGCTCCGGTCCTTAGTCTTCGACAAAGCTTCAAGCTTCCTGTTATCAAGCTAGAAATGGATGAAAAGATATGAATGTAAAAATCCAGTACCAAAAAAGCAAACATACAACACAAACAGAACTTCATGGACTGAAAATTTGCATACCAAAAGAATTGCGGCTTGAGGAAGGTAGCGATAAATGTGATCGCCGACGTTCTTGGCAATGCCGCCGAGCTCGTGATCGTCAAACCTCTCGTTAGCATGGAAATACCCCACAATGCTCACTCCTTTAGCAGCAAAGTGCTCCTCTATCTGTCCCAATTCAATCACAACAACCAAAAATTAATCAAATTACAGAGTTAGGGCACCGTTTGTTTCCCGGAAAAATCCCAATTCGAGTGTATGAAACCCTAGAGGAACAAAAGTGGTGTGAGAAAAAGAGAGGATTTTGGGACCCACCAGGATGAGGGAGATCTCGAGCTGGGGGAGGAGGCCGATGTGGGAGTGGAAGAGAGGGACGGAATCGGTGATCTCCACGACGTCGTTGTGGGGGGAGACGCGACCGAGGAGGATGCCGTTGACCGCGGAGGTCTTGTGCTTAAGAGCGTGTAGCACTAGCTTTATGTAGGCATTTTGTGCGATCTCGTAGCGTAACTCGCCACCCATGACTCACTGAGTTGGACTTCACTTGCAGAATCGCCGGCAACAGAGGAGAGAGAGAGAGACTGAGAAAGCAGAGTAGAGAGAGAAAGAGAGAGTCCAAATTTTCAGTGTTTTTATAAGTTTGGGGATCTGAACGTTGTGATGCGAATATTTCTAGTCTTTTCCTGGATATCTAGGAATCCATTATTGTGATCGTTTATTGAATGGACAATTTTTATTTGTTATTATTTATATTTAATTTTAAATTTTAAATTTTAAAATAATTTCTGACCAATGTCACGAAATTTTTAGAATTCCCAGAAAAATGATGCGGATCCTTGTCCTTTTATTTCTACTTTTATTTTATTTTTTTAAACCAAACTTGGTTCCTTTTTTTTCTCCAATTTTTTTCCCCCACATAAATCAATGAACGGGTCCGAGACATTATTTTGTTACATAATTTTTACACACGTTTTTGTAAGGTTTAAATATTCTCTCAAAGATCATGTTTGCCAACAATTATCAAATCTAAAATCATACAATCGTTGAAGTAAGAGTTTAGAATTTTTTTTGCTGAATCGTATTCGTCAATTTTCTTCACTAATCTTGATAATTTTGAATTTATCTAATTTTTTGCATAATAACTACTTTGTTTAAAAGGGAAGTGCAGAAGGTCAAATAAAAGTGCGTAAATCGTTTCTAAAAAAAGCATGCGAAATCGCTTCCAAAATCAGGAAAACTAATAAAAATAGCTTGAAAACTTTGAGTTTTGAAAATAAGGGCAAAATAAAAGTTAAACTAAACAGTATCGGAAGCTTTTCGTTAAAATTCCCTTCAAAATCATTCGGAAACAGTTGGAGGTCGAACCCAACCATAACCTTGTGGCTAGTTCCATCCTTGCTCACTGCCCACAGTTCGATCATTGTCTTCCTATTTATTTGGTGGTAATCAGCGTCAGTGTTTAAATAACCATGCTAGCACAGCAGGTGCTTAACTCAAAACTTAGGCATGAAATTTGGACTATGGCGTCTTTCGGCTGGCGAAGAGAACGAAGAACAAGGGCAGTTGCAC